CCCCCAACATGGGGTTGGCCGCCAGCTCCTGTCACAGGTGAGTCTCAACATGCTAAGAACATGCTAAGTACATGCAAAGATGTGCTGGGACACGTCGGGGGGGAATGGGGGGGGGGGACACGGGTGGGCACCAAATGACACTTGAATAGGACCATCCTCGTCATGGGGTGAGTCATGTCAACATGCTGCCCCAGGTGAGTTGACATGCTAAGCACACACTAACAACATGCTAAGGACACGCTAGGACATGTGACAAGGGGACATGGGGGGGGACATTGGGAGGGCTCTGAATGACTCTTGAAAGGGACTGTCGCCATCGTGGCGTCGGCCCCCAACTGCTGCTCCAGGCGTGTCACCGTGCCCATGCCAAGCACATGCTAAGCACACGCTCTGCCCCGCAGGTGCGGGAACGTGGCAGCCATCTTGGAGCTGGACGAGCACCTGCAGAAGGAGTTCATCATCTTCGAGGCGGCGCCGCAGGAGACGCGGGGGATCCCCTCCAAGAAGCCGGTGGCCGACTACTTCCTGTGACACCCCCTGGCCCCGCCCGCGTCCCCAACGGATCACCCGCATCCCCTGGGGCCACCTAGGGCCACCCTGGGGCCACCGTGTCCCCAGGAGACATGGGGTGTCCCCTCCACGATGGCCACTGCTGGTGGCATCTAGGGAGGCTCGGTGTTGCCGTGTCCCCTGGGGTCACCTAGAGGCACCCCGGGGTCCCCCAGGGCCACCGTGGCCCCGGGAGATGTGGGGCGTCCCCTCCGAAGTGGCCACTAGTGGTGGCATCTAGGGGGGGCTTGGAGACATCGCTGTGTTCCTTGTCCCCTCGTGGACCACCACAGTGTCACTCATGGCCCCTGGGGTCACCTAGAGCCACGCCAGGGCTACCCTGTCCTCAGGAGATGTGGGGTGTCCCCTCCAAGATGGCCACTGCTGGCGGCATCTAGGGAGGCGTGGGGACATTGCCCTGTTCCTTGTCTTCTCCTGGGCCACCATGGTGTCACCCGTGTCCCCTGGGGTCACCTAGAGCCACCCCCTGCCCCCCAAAGTGGCCTTGTCCTCTCCTGTCCCCCCGGGTCACCCTCCCTTGGGGACACCCTTGTCCCTTTCATGTCCCTTTGGGGCCACCCGTGACCTTTGGGGACCCCCCATGACTTTTGGGGACCCCCTGTGACCCTTGCCCCT